AGAATTACCACATTTTTTACATAGGTAATTTACACTCTCTTTTCCAACCTGCAAACCTCAGCATGTTATTTTCACAAGTACACTTAAAAAACACATTTAAATGCCATTTAAAAAAAATGTAGCTGATTTTCTGATCACATGAAAACTTCACTTAAGGTAGGTACTGATTTTATATTACTTGACATTTATACCAAAATATTTAGTGCTATATCAGATGTTGAGCCAATGCTAGATACATTATTAAATTATTAGAAGCACACAGATTTGATTATTTTACAATTACTGGGTATTGCCAAGCTGTATGGTTTCTTGACCATGGCTTAAACACTTACTATGTAATTATGATGAATAGTAACATTTTTTGATTATTTTTATTATGTGTAAGGGTTTAAAGAAACTAAATTGAGTGATATGATCTGCCTGTAATAGGAAAGACAGATGTACAAGGCCAAAATGCACTTAGGAAAATGTCACGAAACTTGTGACAGCTGTGTGGGCACACTGTGCTAGAACTTTTCATGTGATTTTATTATTTCTATGCATTAGTGTATGGGTGCATTCTTCATATGGGAGCATTATTCGTACAGTGATTGGGGGATAGGAGAGGTAGACAGGGAACAGTTTTCAGAGCAAATGGAAAGCTGTTCATGCCAGTGGATGAAATTTGTCATGATCACTTCTGGATTCCTAGATAAGAGTGATATTTCTCAGTATTTTCACTCAGAGGAGCGGGAAAATGGCTCTGAATATTTATCTGCAATTAGAGCAAGAAATTTGGAAAACCAGCATCCACTGGGCTATAGCAGCAGCCTTTGGCTCATAACGGTGCTGAGAGGATTCAGACCCCCAATTTCAGAACATTTTTGCTCCCTCCCTCCCTCCTCAGTTTTTAGGTTTTTACTGCCTGACTGTGTCATCAGGTGAGATCTCAGTGGTAAGGGAAAGGGAAACTCATCCTGTGAATTTGGAGGAAAAGCAATATTGTCTCTCTGTTTTCTCTGTTTTGATATGGTAGGTCTGGGAAAATATTGTGGGGTCGACCCTAAGCTCATATTTTCTAGTTTTCACTTTTAAAATCTGATGTTTCATTAGAAAAGCAATGTTGTACATTAAAGAGTAAGAATATGAGCTGTGAAACCAGACAAATCTCTGTTCAAAACCGTATTTCATCCCTTTCCAGCCATAAGACCTTCGGCAGGTTTTTTAATGCCTCTTGAACCTTGATTTCCTAATTTGATAATATGTGTCTCAAGGCTGTAAGGAACAACAAGTTTGTGAAGGGGTTTGTGCTTTAGAAGTACACCAGCTTCCCCCCCCCCCCGCCCCAGTGTTGCTTGTCTAAAATGCACAGAGCTGGGTTAAGCTGAATCTCTGTTTCTCTTGTGTCTCCAGGTCACTTCTTCTGATAGCTCCCTAGCTTTGGAAAGTGAACATCCTCAAGGTAAGTTCACTGAAGAAAGGAGACTGTGTATATAGTCAGACCCTAGCTTGTTTTCAGCAGTTCTCTTAGGTTTAAAAACCAAACCAATTTTTATCAAGTCAGCTCTGACATATAGCAGTGTCATGTATGTCCCGGTAAAGCTACTCTGCAGAATTTTTAGAAGCTAATTTTTCAGGAATAAATCTCTTGACTTCTCTTCTGAGACACCTCTGTGTAGATCTGAAACCTTCAGCCTTTCATTTAACAACTAAGTGCATTAATTAACTAAGGATACCCTTAGGAAGATCAAAGCTGGCCCAGATGATGTGCCAAACAATACAAATTAGGAACGATAGACAAGGTAATTTATGAGTAAATCAGGGGCAGAGTGGAGATTATTAAAGTTACCTTCAATTATAAAAACTACTTGAGAGAAACTTCTGAAGTTCAAAGAAAATATGAATTCTCTTGTTTAAAACACAATTGTGGGTGTCTAGTTAGAGATGGTGGATTGAATACATGCATCTCCTTTTCTTCCATCTTGAAACCATCATAATTTCTCACTGCAATTTTTTTAAAAGAGTAGGGAAAACAAAAAAAAATTTTAAAAAAATAGGAAAAACTAGAGGAGACATTAGCAACAAATTTTAGAAGCTGAAAAGGGTACAGAAAAGTAGGAAATTACTTAGTAGAGGTCAGAGAAGCACGTTATAATCCAACAGTGGGAAAGCCAAGAAGCACTGAAGATCTAAGATGCAGATTCCTTATCCCATGTAATGCAGAAAATACTAAAAAATGTAAAAATTGAAAGTTCTGTAAGTTACTCATAGCCAACAACTTGCTTAGAGCATCTAATGGAGCATTAAATCCTCCAGTATGAAAATATTAATTGAATCTTCCTGGAAACCATGGACCACCAGCCATCTAAAGAAAGCCTCTAAAAATGAAATGCAGTGACCAAACTGCCACTCTTTCCCAAAAGAAACAAGGGGAGTGGGGAGCAAAGAAGATAACTCGTTAACGTTAATCCTACTCATCTGATAAAAGAATATGTTTCCGAGTCTGGAGCTGAACTCACCCCTGTGGCTCAGCTTTCAGCCAAATGATGTCTCTCTCTCTTTGCTGTAAAGTCAGAACCAAATCGCAGGTGACCTTCCATTGGGTTTCTGAGACTGTGATTGCACAGGAGATTTGCCCATCTTTCTTCATCTTTGCTGCTGGTGGCTTCAAACTGCCAAAGAGGAGCAACCTTTGAGTTACCAGCACAACAATCCTGTAAGGTGAATAGTAATACCAGGGAAGTACTTATTTCTTAGAACTGTGAGCCCTACCAAATTAAAAAACATAGCATTTGACCACAGAGAAAGCTCAGAAGACAACAAGGAATAGGAAAGCAGAATTAATACAAATGGGAAACATAGGGAGAAAGATGGAAAAGTGCTCTTAGAGTGCCAGGATTATAACCAGGGCCACAAAACAAAATGTGAAAACCAATCACAAGAAAAAGTTTAAAAGTCATATATGTTGTTGTTGTTGTATGAGTTGCAGGCGACTCATAGTGACTCTTATGAAGGAGAGTCCTAAACACTTGTGTGTCTTTCATCTTCTCTCCAGGTTCATAGGGTTTCCGGAGGCAAGCTATTACGGAAGTGGATGCCACTCCTGCTTCCAAGCTTGTTTTAATCGGGGAGCTCTACCCCACTCTCTGTCCGCACTAGGTAACCAACCATTAATGCATTTGACACATTAGTGTCACAGTGTTCAGCCTCACAGCAAGCACAGGTTACTGTGGACACACCAGGGCTATACAACCTAGAGGAATGTTTGGACAAAAACAATGAAAGACAGGCCCGAGGGCCACAGATTAAAAGTCACCCATTTTTGGCTTGGTAGCATTGCTTTCTGTCCACTGGGCTAAGAGTTGTTAAGCGCTGTCGAGTCGCAGCCAACTCATAGCAACCCTATGAAGGAGAGTCCTCAACGCTTGAAAAGTCATATGTACACAAGAAAAAAAGTCATATGCTTGCATCATGAAACAAATACAGGCTAGAGTGGGGGCGGGAGGGGGAGGATTTTCAGAAAACAAAAAGGAGCCCTTGGAAAATAAAAGAATAATAGCAAAAAATTTAAACTTAGTCTGTGGAAAGCTCCCAGAGAGTAAAGTTAAACATCAAAATGATGGAAAATAAAAGAAAATGTATTTAGCAAAACAAACAACCTTAAACGAACTGGCTGGAATGGAAAACCAGTTTGCTTTGTAAACTCACTCAGAACAGAATTTAAAAAACAAAGGAGAAATCTGTCTAGGAGGTCCAGTATCTGGATAATAGGAGTTACAGAAAGATAAAAATGAAAACACTGAGGGGAGGAAATAATCCAAAAACATTCCTGGAACTGAAGGAAATGGGTTTTCACATTGAGTGGATCCATTGAATATTGCACAGTGGATGAAATTTATTCAGCCAGAGCACAATCATTGGAGATTGTAGAACACAGGAAACAAAGAGAAGAGCCTACAAATTTCCAGAGAGAAAAAAACCAAATTACATGCAAAGAATCGTCTTGGACTCTTAATGATACTAGAAGCTAGAAATCATTGGAGCAATGCCTTCAACATTCTACAAGAAATTAAATTCCAACCCAGAATTCTATATCCAACAAAATGATAAAGATGAGAGTACTAGTTGTTGTTGTTATGTGCCGTTGAGTCGCTTGTGACTTATAGCGACCCTGTGTACAACAGCCCTAAACTCTGTCCTGTGTCAATCACACCATCTCTGACACACTCATCCCGATTACCCCAGTCACTGAATCAATCCACCTCATAAATATTCAGACTACAGAGTCTCAAAACATTTACCTTCCATGCACCTGTTCTCAGGAAGCTACTGGAGGATGTGCTCTAACAAACAAGAGTAAAACCAAGAAACATGAAAACATGGGATACAGGGAACAGGAGTGCCAACACAGGAGAGACATGAAATGTGAAAGGAGTCCCCCGGATGGTGCCATAGGAAGAGCTCAGGATGGCACCACTGCATGTCAAGCAGAGCAGCCCAGATCTGAGCAGGTCAGAAGACTCTGGAGAGACTTCTTCAGATAGTTTAAACTGATAGACTACATAATTATTTTGAACTTTTTTGGAGGAGATTTAGATAATTGGTGAAGAGTTTGGGGATTGAATTAGTTACTTCAAGGGAAAACAAAGTTGTGAAAAAGAAGGCAAATGATCAAGTTTACCATTTGGCTTGGTTCTGAAGTATATTTCGTAAAAATGATATGAATAATTGACATGATTAAACTCTTAGACCAACTGACTGGAAGAGATCTATATTTGTTCCCATTTCAAATAAGGGTGACCCAACAGAGTGTGGAAACTATAGAAAAATATCATTGATTTCACATGCAAGCAAGATTCTACTGAAGATTATTCAAAAACGACTGGAACAGCACATCAGCAGAGAACTGCCAGAAATCC